TTTTTTTTTATTATTATCATCATCATTCATTATTATCACGGACTGAATTGCATTGCAAACATAAATGATGTCTTCTTACCTTCAATGTTTGTCATATATTTCAATGAATTAGCTCATCTTTCTCTATCATTCCCACTTTGTAATCGAGCATATGACGGTGATCTAACAAATTCTCTTCCCCTTCGTAAAGAAAAGATACTTTTCAGGAATGTGTATGCGTGTGTATGAGTGCGTATGGGTGTATATGTGTGTGTGTGTGTGTGTGTGTGTATGTATGTGTGTGTGTGTATGTGTGTATGTGTATGTGTATGGGTTGTACGGATGTATACGAGTGTATGTGTGTGTGGGTATGTATGGATGTGTGTATGGTGTGCGTCTATAGGTGTGTGTCACCATAACAATAGAGATTATGACGTATTGCAATTAACTTAATTTCTTGATGTACGATTAAATTTTCTATATCTCACTCATACCATTATTACCCATACATTAAGAATATTACGATTATTTAATTCCATTGTGCTGAAAATGCATACACAACTTATATGCTGTTATAATAATGAGCTTAATGATCGGTATAGCAATACTAATAAAATTTCTCACAGGTAATAGCTACAACAATAAAGTTTAGTGACTATTATAGCTGCATCAGTAAAGCTTATTAACCCATACAGTTATACTAATAAAGTTAGCTAGACAAATAAAGGTTGTTATTAGTTTAATTCGGTTATTTTTTTGTTCTCAACATGCATTTAATGTATTCATTCATTTTTTCTCAACAATATTTTTCATGTTTTAAATCGAAATTTCATGAAATTTAAATAAATTTCTTACTCGAATCTCCCATTCAAAATTCATCACTGAATAAAAAAAATCGAAAAAGAAAAAAATCTGCAAAATTAATTAATTACTATTCCTTAAATTGATTGATAAGATTATTTTAGGTACCAATAATTACGGTTGTAATGATAAATTTCTTGGTCATATCACTTATTCGCAAATTTATTTACTCAGTTATTGCTGTTGATAATATCATAGAGTGATATTTCTCACAACTTACTCTAAAATAAGTTAAACTGGAATAATCAAAGTTTTAATCACTTTGAATTTTTCAAAATTGAATTGAAAAAAAAGTTCAGTGAAATATGCGTTATTAATACTAACATTTGTATGCAATTATAAATGAAGAAGTGGAATAGAGAAGGAGTTTATAATTGAATTTAAAAGAAAATCAAATTATATTCTTGTTTACATAACAGGTCAAGAATAAAACACGTTTCTTAAAATGGGAAGATGTTTAAGTAAACAACAATACACTTAACTCAATCCTCCTGCTTTCATTTATTTCACATTTTATTTATTACCTATCCATTCATCTAACCATATTCATACACCTTTCTTATAGCTTTTTTAAAAATTTCTTATTTCATTACTTTTAATTAAAATTAAAGTTACAATTACACTGCCACACTACATTAAGAAATAAATTTGACTTTTTTTTACTTTTATTTTATTTACTATTTTATTTTCTCTGTCTTTCGAAATAAAATGTTATTTGTCTTTTTTTCAAAAGTACTTTAAAACGTCTTAATTGAAATTTTGTAAAATGGATGAGAAATTCAATTTCCTATTCGACCGTTCGTTTTATTATTCTTTTTTTTTGTTACAATCATTGTCTTCGTTGTTGGTATCTTTCGATCTTTCTGTTTTCAGGAAAAGAATTGATCGAAACGATTTTATTTTTTTTGCAAATAAAGAAAAGAAAGTTTCAAAATAAGGTCATTGGAAATGACATTGCACATTAATTGAAGACAATAATTATTTTAGGGATAATAATTTTGGACTGAGACATTTTCATTGATTACGATTTGACATCGATTTTTTTATGGCGATCTTGTAAAACTGAATGCATTTGAGCTAATAATATTGCTAAAATCATGATTGAATCAAACGGAATGCATTAAAAAAAGGTGACAAGATCAAACAAGGTAACAAAGGTGACAACTAAGCAAGGTGGCAAGACTCCAATGACCATTTTTCGGAATGATCACCTTACTTCAATGACCATCTTCTGTAGCAATAATTGAAATATTTTTGCGATTTCAAAATATGTCGAAACAATTAAATCAAAAATAACTATTAGTATATAAAAAGATTGGTTTATTTCGAATATTTCTCAGAAAAATGATTCATTGCACATACAAAAAAATAAAATAAAAATTAAATAAATAAGTGTTTTGATTGTGAAGAATGAATCATTTGTCCAACTCTCATCTCTCATTTGATTTGATAATCAAGCCAATTTGCAATGCTTAGAATTTTATAAACATTTTTTTCAGTCCGATAATGAAGCTTATTTTCAACCACCATATCAAAAGTTAGGGTTATTCATAATTGAACATCCACTAAAATTATTATAATCTCAATTAAATTCCACTAAATTTTCCTTACAACAATAAAGAAGAGAAACCTGATGATATATTCTACCTGCAATATTCTCTGATAATTATTTTATAAACGTATACGAGAAATAAATTTTTCATCAAAAAGTTCTACAACACCTTCTATCTAAAATTGCTTTTCGACTGGTAATGACAAACATTTGGTATTCTTCAGGCCATTCATATTTAGACTATATTTTTGCCCAGTCTTAGACCATATCCTTAAAGAGAAGGGTGTACATCACTTTTTACTTCGTACTAATTTTCTTGAATTAAAATCTTTTTAATAATTTGAAATAGAGTTTGCGAAATCCCTCAATGCTATTTATCATTTTGATAATTACAGTTAAAGAAAATAAATATATCACCCAATTATTAATCAATAGAATTCATCCTATGAATTGATAATCAGTTTATTATTTACTATTAATTATTATCAATATAAATGAAAATAGAAGTTATTGTTGTTGCTATTGTAATAACAATTTAATTGAATTCTAAACTATGTACTTTTTTTTAAAATGAAATTTTTCGTCATCGTGATGTCAATTCAATGTAATAGTTCGAACTAATCTTTCATATAAACTTTTTTAGCAAATGATAAACTTAAATTACAGAGGGGAAACGTATACGTTATGTTTACTTTACATTTACATTCAATTTTCTATAAATTCAGTAAATTATTAAAATTTGGCAATAAATTTAGACAATTCAAATAAACAATTTTTTTTCACTTACATAGCTAATTAAACTTTGAATTTTAAAATTGAATGCTATCTTTTCTAAAATTAAGAAGTATTTAAATTTCATGAGAAAGATATTAGCACTACTTACAGCTAACATTCATTATAGTTAAAATACATAGAATAAATTGCACCAGAATGTATGCATGCATGCATGCAACATACACTTCACAATCTTCTATTTTAGGATGAGCTATTTTAAAAAAAATCATTGTTTCATGCAGTTCAATAATAATCAATATAAAAGTTTAGTAGAGAAAAATTGTTGGCATTGGCTTCGGCACTATTCATATCATTTCTCCTGATCGGCCTCCTCTATAAAGGTCAATCGAGTTTTTCTTTTTAGTGGATGTCAGAAATTCACCATTTTTCCGTTTTTTTTTTAAACTCTTCTCTTTCTCTATTCTTCCAATCAAACTGATCAACTTCATTCCTCTCTTTTCAATCTTCTCTTTTTCACCTCACTTCACCTCACCTCACCTCATTTCACATCCCTTCTACTCTTCTTCCACTATAACTGATATTATTACCAAATTAAATTATTTATTCATTCATTTATTTACTTGTTTATTTATTTGCTTACATTTATTCACTTATTTGCTTTTGTAATTTTTAATGGAGTATTAAACCAAATGAAAGTAAAACTATTTATTTATTTACTTACTTATTTGCTCTTTTAATTCATGATGGATTATTAAAGGGAATAAAATCATTCATTTGTTTGCTCATTTATTTATTTATTCATTTTTTCACTCGCTTATTTACTTGCTTGCTCCTATAATTCTTAATACATATTGAAGGAAACAAAATTGTTTGTTTATTTGCTTGTTTGTTTATTTGTTCATTTATTTATTTATTTATTTATTCATTTATCTATTTATTTATTTACTTATTTATTTATTGTTTATTTATTTATTTATTTGTTTATTTATTTATTTGTTTATTTATTTATTTATTTATTTATTTATTTGCTTACTTACTTATTTGCTCCTGTAATTTTCAATAGAATATTAAATCAAATGGAGGTAAAAATATTTGCATATTTTTTAATATACCTACCTATTTGTCTTATATAATTCTGATTTGATAGCAGTAATAAGAAGAAGAAAGAATTAGATCGGTAAATGATAAAAAATTAATCTAGGAATTTGTAGGAAATGAATTTCTGAATGCATAATTAGGATGGGTTAATTTTCATTCAATAGAAGAAAAAAGTTTTTTTAGAGCCATTTCTGCGAAACTTTCTTGTAAGCAAATTGGAGGAACTTTTCGTAAACTCAAATATCAACAAAATTTAATTCAATACATTTTTTATTCATTTACACTTGGAATTATTGTGGTTTTAGAAAATGACTTGATCAAATTCCGGTATATTCCGGATTTTTTTGTATTCCTTCCGATATGAACATTTTCTTAAAAAACTTTTCATCCTTTTTTATTGAACTTTTGTTGTTTTGTTTTTACCTAAAAATTTCCTCCTGTTTAAAAAACATTTTAAAAAAAGCAATTAGTGCATTCATCTTTGTTAAAAAAAAAAAACGAAAAACGAGTTTTTCAACCAAATGATTTTCTTCAATTGAATTTTGTTAATTTTTGAAAGAAAAAAAATCCTTTTAAAAAAATAAAAGCATTTCTTGTCAAAAAAAAGTGAAAATTAAAATATGACAGTATGCCATTATCCTTAACACTTCTGGTACCTACCGTACTACACCGTGAAATTAATTTGCGTTTTTTTTTTTCGAATGCTATATTACTTAAAGTAGAATTTAGGTAGAAATATGCTTTTTAATTTAAGTCATAAGTTTAAGAATATAAATTTTAGGTAATAAACAAAAGAAATGACAGAACCGGATCAAGAAGGTGAAATGACGGAATCTACGTTGACAACAAAAATGGTAAAACGACGTAACAATAGATGCTGTTATGGCCTATTACATATAACAACCGCTACATTACTCATTGGTTGCTTGGAATTATGTTATTTTTCATATGAGGTATGAAAATCATGATGATATCAGAAAAGATAACTGGATCATTTGCGCCGCTCAAATTATAATTATTGATTGATGTGAAAAAAAATTACACTTAATTGTTTTAATTTTAGATTTTTTCAACAATTTATCATTTTATTCAAACGGGTGAACAATATCTTCTTTCATTATCAATATCACTATTTGGCATAATTCTTGCATTTATTGCTTTACTTTTACTTTTTATCGCTATTAAAACATCAACATCATATCTATTGGTGCCACATTTATTAATGCAGGTAGTGTCTAAATTTTATTTTCAACCTTTATAAACCCATAATAACTTATATGGCCAAAATCCTTTTTACATCATGAAACTGAATATATATTACCTGTCCTATACCTGTCTGTCCATTTATAAATGCACCTCTCATCTCTTGATTACCTTTCTTATTGTTAATTTATTTTTTGGTTGATTTAATATTCAGTTATAATTTTCAATATTGTGAATACTTTTTATGAAAGGTAAATGAAATATTTTAGCATCTTACTTTTTCAAATTTTATTTTTTAAAAAATTTCCCATTTTATTTTCATTTTTTCAGTTTTTTAGATTAAAAAAAAAAATTCCAGGCTGCCGCAACATGTGTCCTATCACTTATTTGTTTATTTTGTTTGTTTGCTGTAATAGCTGGAACAAGTTTGGATTTCAGGTGTGACATATTTATTAATTTCAAAAAGAAAAGAAAAAAGCATTAATTGAAGTTTGTCAACCAACTCTTTCATTTGGTTTTTGGCAAATTTATTCTTTAGACAAAATTGATATCGAAAAAAACTAACTATTTTTAAAAGATATTTCGTCTCATTTATAAATAAATTCAAATGGATGACAGTATTTGGGATTCTATTTCATCAAAGTTCAAAACTTTCTATTAGGATTTCCTAATCTTAGTAGAGGTCAAACGTGGCATATATCAGATATGCTTACAAGAATAACTCGAAATGCCATTTTGTGTGACTTTTTCTTTTCATGTAACCATTGTTTAAAACTTTTGAAGACTCCATCAAAATTTTCTCAAATTATTTTGTTAATATTGCTATTAGCCATTACCATTAGCCACCTTGACATATGCACAATTTGCTTACACTCATTAATTAACTAACTGTAAGTTCGATGTAATGAGTTTGAGAGCTAAAAAAATTTCATTATGTTAGTATTTTTTTAAACAAATACAAAAAGTATTGCACAGATTAAATTTACAAACTGAAACACAATCCAAATAAGTAATGCCTCTTTGCTTACCCTAGAACTTTAAAAAAGCTTCATTTAATTGTAAACAAAATCCTATTTACATTTCAGGATTGTTAATGTGGGAGATAATATTGTTGATGATTTGGCATTAATCATGACGGGTAAATCAACCTACGAACTAATTTACATGTCCCGAGGACTTACTTTAATATTATCATTCACTTGTATATTTCTATTTTTACTTGATTTAATGCAGGTTACACCTTTTAATGTTTCTTTTCAATTTAAAATTTCGACAAAATTTAAAAATTCCAAATAAATGAACAAATCATTTGAGAAATAATAAAAGAAATTGAATTAATAAATTATTGAACGAAATGGAAAATTGCGCTTTATAAAAAATAAAAGCTTAGCTAATTTTAAAATTTTTTTTTTTGATTACAGATATGGATGCTCATTATTGTTTTTCGATGTTTTTCCCATTTGCAAGAAATGGCTATCCTAAAAACTCAATGTATAGCGATAAATAGAGGCGCAAATAGGATATCAGCTAGAAGTAAAAGGCAAAATTGCGCAGCTAATGATGCAAAAAATAATAATTGCTTTTCGTTGGAAATGAATTCGATGAAATTTGTTCGCAAAAATTAAAAAGGATTTATAGCAGCAGATAATTCTCGATAATGAAATTTTCATAGTATTTACTTAGAGTTGTATCATGCGATCGGATAATAAGTTTTCTACAGTGTGATCTCATCATTTCAACGTGTCATTTATTACTTCTTATTACGTTTTTTTTTTGGAATAAAGAATATCTTGAAATTGGATTCGACTTTTCAAATCAATCAAGCATTTATTTCTTACGAAATGATCAATTTGAAGAGATTAAATAAATTAAACTGAGAATGTTTAAAAATAAACCATTCAATTGCAACAATAAACAGATATATATATGTAAAACATTTAATGCTAATTTTGAAAACTACAATAAAGAAGTTTTAAATACAAAAATTTGTTTATTCTCAAGAATATACAATTTCGTATTACTTTTCTTCCATATCCTTTGTTCACAAAATTTATTTCGAAAAAAGACAAAAATTTTAGGATATCATTGATATTTTTTGAAATTTTTTAATGACGTTAATAATTTTATACTTCATGAAGCAATAAATTTGTCTCTTCCATGGCTTATCTTCGATCTTACTCGTTTTATCTTTCCAATGATTGCAAAAACAGTAATCATACAATGAAGTTGCATAAAGTTATGAAGGAAAAAGTAATCTAGTGATACTTAATTATCACAATTTAATCAGTACTATTGACATGAATAAAATTTTGACTACATGTTTTAATTAAATATCACATTATTTCATTTTAAGAGTCAACAATTCTTCCATTATAATCAACTTAAATTAAATTTAAATATGATGTCATCCTGTACTGACGTGACCAAAAATTTCGTCCTAACTTATTAGCAAATTACGATGGGTCATTCGAAAAACAAAATCGTTCCGTCTAGCAGAAAAATAATTGAAACTTGAAACTATTTGTATCTTTCTGCTACTTCAAAAGTCATCTGTTCGATGATTCTAGAATTTGGCTAACAAAATCCAAAATGACCAATCGTTCATTCTTTTATTGTAACCAGTATTTACGGCCGTCATCAAAATTTTTGTTCATTTTATGCCTTTATCGATTAACTTCTTCATTTTTCCTCTTTGTTTTTTTTTTTTAAAAAAGCTATAAATTCTAAATTGGCTTCAAATTTTGCTTTTTTTCTTTCTTTTTTTTCAAAAAATAATTTCACATACTATTTTTATGAGGACAAACTAACTTGAAATAATCATCGATTTATGCAATTAACCATGATTGATGACTGTCAATCGATCTAGTAGCAGGAATCAAAACGCAACTACCGTTTAAATCTTCTCTCGTGAATTTCTTCAGAATCTTTACACATAGATTTATACCGAGCGATCATCGAATACCAATTTAGGTAATGCACTATGACCGTTGTCATATAACATTTGTCACCTTTTAAAGCATGTGACAATATAAAATGAAGATGATAGAGGGAGAAAGAGTTGCTAAACTTGTTCGCAATATTATTCCAGTAGTTTTTGGACATTTGTTATTCAACAACTCTTCCATTCTTTACATTTATTTCCGTTCTTTTTGCTTTCGTCAGTGATTTTTGCTATGTCTATTTTTCATTTGTATTACCTGCAGTAAAAAAAAAAAAGTTAATTTTTGGAGTGATTTAATTTTAACAATTCTATTATTAACCTATTCAGATAGTTACTGAAATCGTCGTATAATCTCCCTATTAAATTCCATTGATTATTTAAATACTTTTCAACCAATTAATTTCAAATTTATTGCAAACAAGATCAGGATGACAATGAATAAATCCATATAATTGATGATTCATTGAGTAACAACTAGGAGAGTTTTCGCTACCATAATTTTAAAATGGCGCAAAATGCAAAAAAAATTATGAATAAGCTCAAACATAAATGCAGTAAGCTCAAGCTTAAATATAATAAGAAGCTCAAGCTAAAAGTAAAAAGCAAAATTTCAGTTTAGGCTTAAACAAATTAAACAAAAAGTCGAACTGTAAGCGATTATAACATTAAAATTACCACTGAACAATTCAAACATAAGTTAAGTAATAAAATTTTAATCTAAATCATCAAATGAATCTTTCGAGAAAATTTAAGATGAAAAATCATTAAGTATATATGTATATATAATAAAGGAATTGTTAATAACTAAATATGATTGTTATTCGATAATTGTACATATAAATTTCTGATTGAATGAATTGAACAGCTATAAAACATAAATTAATTTTAAAAAGATTAAACAGATTTCTTCTGATTATAACAAAATTAATGGTTATAAAAAACAAATATATATAAATATTCATCTCTTTTCTTTCAAATTTTGTTATCGAAAAATTATTTCGCATAGAAATGGATAATTAAATAGCTTTAATATTCCAGCAAATTAACAATAACCTGATTAATTACTTAGTTTCGAAAATTCAAACATAACGATTACTATTCATTTCTAATTAACATTAATAATTTATACCTTACTATCTATATTTCCCATCTTAGCAAAATTATTCATCATCATTGTTGCCCTTCCCGATATTACATCTTCTAGTTTTCATCAAAAGAACCTGCTTTGCATAAGCATTATAGCATTGATTCACGAATCAGATAGTTCCAAGGGCATTAAACCTTCTTTCTTTTATTCTCCCTCTCTCTCTCTCTCTCTCATCATTTGCCTTAAAAAATGAAAAAATTTTTGTCGTTTAAAATAAATCAGTAGTCAGCAAATTTTTTGTGCTGCTTAATGATTTCAGTTGTCATCAATCAGCTCCTTCATTCCTTACTGATAGTTCTTAATCACATCATTAAATAGCTTATTAGTAATATCTCAGAGAATACTTTAATTAGCCGGATGAAATTATCCTTCAATTTCTATAAATGATAATCTCTTACAACTTATTTATTTTCCTTAACTTTATTCCTCATAACTTTCAAAATTTCAAAGTATTCTCTGTAGTTGAATTACTGTTCAAGATGATTTGGTAATTCTCTTGAGATCTTCAGTACTTTCTGATTTATATGCATAAAATTGATGGAGCTCCTTCTGAATTTTGTATGCTCTGGTTTCACTGGGAAGAGATTCCGGTTTTCTTGTAGTTAAATGAATATCACTTCTGAAAAGGACTAGCTAATGCATTTCATTCATCCATTTTCTTTATGAAAATCCATCCAGATACAGTAAAGCATATATCCTATAATCGATGACTTCCAAACTACTTCCGGACATTTCCACCTGTTCTTTATACCGTACCCCTATTAGCATAACTCGTGATCTGTTATAGTTTCTTTTAACAGGATAAGAATATTATCTGCAGAAATTCTCGAATCTTGAAGTTGCATTCCAATCATTCTTGCAATGTCACAGCAAATGAAGCATCACAAGACGACAGGAGCGACTGTTCATTGGGAAAATACCGCGGATCAGGAGGAAGAAGATCAGAAAGATGGTATTTGCTTATTACAAGATAACCGATATTTGAAACATCCATACATGCAATTTTATTTGAATTATTTTTAAAGACACGGAGAATTATGTAACAATTACTTGTAGATTTTTCGTGGAATAAAGAGAGAAGTACCAGTATATCAGAATATCCCGGTATCGATTGTGGTAATTCATGGATGCATTCTCCAGCATATGACGATTTTTCGTCAACAATTCTTCAGAGACATCGACGATCAAGTGTTCTAGTGGGTAAACGTTCCATGCAGTTACTTGAAGAATCTGGAGAGGAAGAACCAAAGTACGTTCTTCTAAATTATCGTTGCATCTGATGATACACTGATAAATTGCATCAATTTTGCAGTTTTATCATTAAGTACAAATGAATTCCATTTTAGATTTGTAAAGTTCATAATCAAGATATATAACAAATGGGGTTTCTGGATTACTCGCTTTGCTTGGCCTGCTATGATCATCTGTCTATTGATTTCAGCTATAGCACTTATCAAAATATTCTACACTCCGTTAGTTCTTCTTCAGTTTATGTTCTATTGGAAGGAAGTTGATAGTAAAGAGGAAGATAAGATAGTAAACCTGTTGAAGGATACCGGAGAATTATGCTATTATTATAGGCAACGCAATGATCTCGAAGGTTACTCACCATTTGAAGCACGTTCTCGCATTGAATACAATAGATATTTGAACTTCTTCTCAAGAAATGGTTTGGCAATATCCACATATTTGTATATTACCGCTAAAGATGGCAATTCTATGCTTCGACCAAATCATCTTAATGATACCATTGAAGTGCGTGTGTTCGACATTTGATACAATGTCACATATTTTAATTAATACTTCATGTTTACCTGTCATCTCAGGTGATGACAGGTACAAGTATTGTTTCATATTCTCAGAATATGATATATTTATAGGTATTACATTTGGCTTCCAACAATATCACATTGTACGATCCAATTACACGCCAAAATCAATCCTTCAATCAATTCTGCAAAGAGTTTTGTAGAATAAATGAGCCCGTATTACAGTTTTACGTAAGTTAATACATTCATTGACCTTAATTTGATCAAGTATAAGCAAATTTGACCTTTTCATCTGACAGTCAACTTTGTTCGTTTTGTACATTTGATAAATTGACAAAGTAGCTCTTATCATTTTGGATTATCTATAGAACACTGCTTACTTTAAAAAAACAAAAAACAAAATTTACTGTTAAAAATGATAAAGAAAATTGATAGATTAAAAAATTAGAAGCAGTGTTCTATAATTTAAGTGCTTTTACGTACTTACAAAAATCTGTGACAAACAATATGGAAATAAAATAACTATACTGAAAGAGTTCAACATATTAACCTAGCATTAAATATATTTAATCAACGATGACAATATAATCTAAGATTGCATAACGGTACTTTATTAAGTCATGCTAATTATTGATTGATTACTCTTAATTACTCTAAACTTCTATTATATAAAGATAATTGTTATGGAATTCACCTCGGTGTTTTCCTCTTTTCTCCTTTCTTTTTTAACTTATCAAAGTGTAATTGAAGTTATTAGGCAATAATGTCATTGAGAATTTCAGAATGCATATATGGTACAGAAATGGAATCTGGACAGTGGTGATCCTCCAAATCCATATCTAAGACTTAAATATCCCATTAGTACTCTGTTTGGTCGTGAGATAAATATTCAGGTATCTTTTACTTGTAATTTCAATTATTATATATGGTTATTTGAATTTATAGAAAGACTAAAGATCAGTAATGCAATGATTATGCAGGTCGTTCTTATCAAGATAATATCAAGATTATCGGGTAACGTTTATTGCTAGTAAAAGAAATTCTAATGGTTGGGAAAAAAGAATTTTTGCTAGTAAATAAATGAAAAAAATTCGCAGAAAACATTTTTCATTTTATTGTTCTGCATTAGCTGCATGCTTAAATTCAATGCAATTTGACAATTGCGCTAAATATTAGGCTACTAAATACAACTGCGTTAAATGCTAAACACAAAACATAAATAATGATTCTAATAAAATAATCATGCTAACTAACAGAAATTTTCATTGGATTTTCATCAGAAGCATCAGGAATATATACATATATTAATGATACACTTTTTTAGCCATACTTCTTTGGTGTAGAATTGTACAATGAGACTGAAACAAAAGAGGAGATCGATGAAGAAACGGAAAGTTTACGTCAACTTTTCGGAAACGATACAAATATTGAATTGTTAATTGGCTTAAATGAGACATATCCACCAATAACAAATATGAAATCAGTAAAGATGATTTCATTGCAACTTCGTGCCTTAGAAAATCCCCAATGGAGTAAAGATGAAATGAAACAATGGGAGATGAATGTCGTTCATTTCTTCGAGTATTGAAATTTTTTCGTTTTAAACTACCTCAATGATACGTATAATCTAATTGAAAAAATAACCATAACTTCGTGAAAAATGACCAATGAAAGTGACCATGACATAAACACAAGCATATGCTGAAATATACTTTTTAAATTACTTGATTAATCAAATTTCATATTATTAAGAAATCGATCAATCCTTTTATTATAGAAATTATCAATCAGAGTATTTGACGGTCTATGTCATTTCTACCACTTATATCGAGGAAGAAATGGTTCGTGCCGGAATATCACTGCTACCGTATCTAACTGCTGGTTTTATCATTATGTGCACCTGTTCTGTAATTACTGTAATGGTTCGTGCTGCTTACATGCATCAGAATAACATATTCAAGGTTAACATACTCATTTACTTTTTTATTTAATTTCTCATTTTCTTGTTTATCTTGCCTCTCTATACTTATTCAGATTAACTCTTTATTATTTCTGAGAATGTTTATTACCATATATGATTCAGGTTTTTCTGGCGGTAATGGCTTGCGCTACACCATTACTAGCATGTTCCACTGCTTTAGCAATCCTATTTCTGTGTGGTATGAGATTCTCCTCAATACTTTGCGTCATACCTTTTCTGGTCTTATCTATTGGTAAGAGAATAAATGAATTTTCTAAAATAATATATGAAACAAAAAAAAAGAATGTCATTGATTAGAAAACTTTAATTTGTATTAAATAAGAATAGTTTAGGTATTGATAGTTCATATCTAATGATCCATGAATGGCAGCGAGTAACGAAGGAGATACGGGACAGTGAAAAAAAGGTGGAACTGTTGGACATCGAATGTCTGAGGTTTGAATTTTTTTTCTTTTTCAAACCATATTAATTACTACTTAAGCAGACATATATTATTAATTAGGCAGGCATATTACACTTTAAGTAGATCTTATAGATTGTTAATAGATGTAATTTTAGGTACTCAGTGAAGTTGGTCCCGCGATACTGATCTCTGCGATAACTAATATATTGGCTGATGCTGTTGGTTGTTTTACATCTTCTCCTGAAATTCGTCTATTATGCATTGGAAATTTATTCTCTATGTTTGTGGCGTATTTATATCAGGTAATTATTATATTTCAAAATATTTCATTCAATCTTTTTTGCAATAACTTCCTATTTTAGATGTCCTTTTATTCTGGTTTGATGTCTGTTGTCGGAAAATTTGAGATTGCAGCAGAAAAGAATGATGATAATATCACAAATATTGCAATACAGAAAAGTCAAGTGAATATTAGAAAATGCAGTGAGATAACTGTAAGTTTTTCTTGAATAATTTACCACAATACAAGAATATTTACTTTGTCAGAGTCTATTTTAAAAGGTCGAATTATCAAAAGATTTAACCTTTCTACCCTTCACTTCATTCTCTTATTGGATTATGATGCCCAGGGCATAGGTCATCATGACAGTTTCTAACAATATTGGTTTCACACCACTAATTATCACCGTTAATTATATATTGTGAAGTCGTTGGAGCATTTTTCTGATCCTACAGCTAATGATTCCATATTTTTTCAGCGTAAAAATTCGAGATTTCACGATAAATCTAAGTTATATATCAGTAAATACATGCGAGTATATGTGAATATCATCGCTCATCCTGTGACAGCAACACTGATCATTGTCCTTTACATTACTTACCTTATCATCACTATTTGGGTATGTTTTTATTGATTATTTACCTGTCTTACTTATGGCATTGCTTTTCAGAGGATGTCATTTGCCAGTTAGGTGAGCTATTACTTTACCTTTTTCAATCTTCCATTTGTTTCAATTAGTTACCTGGGAATTTATCATCTATCAACAATTTTTGATTCATTGCAACATTCTTATCTTTTCATCTCATTCTTTGCTTAAGCAATATTTTGATATTCTTGTAGATGTTATCCAATACACTGACATAACTAATTGTCATTTTAGGGGATAACACGAATGAATATCAGTCTAACACCTCAGAAGTTATTTGCAGCAGATTCCCCGCTGATAAAGGTTTTTTGCTACGGACTACTTTCTAATGTTCGCCAGATTGTTATTATTCTTAGCTGCATACTACAGATTTGATTTATATCTCTTTGACAGCTCGATAAGCTACGCGCAGAATACCAAGTACCGGTCTTTACGATGGCATCGGTGTTCGTGGAAACACCTGGAGATTTGTCGCAGAGATTGCCACTTCTTCTGATGAATAATATGGTTCAGGATTTCGAAAACCTTAACGGTAGCTGGGGACCCACTGGTACCATGTATTTCGTGCGCGATTTCGCCTTGTTCCAGAATTTTTTGCGATGTTTGTTTTTGTTTTTGTTTATTGCTTTTAATTGTTCCTGATTCCCGGAAGCACTGCTCGCATGAGAAGTAGGACAGACGTACAGGTTTTAAATATAATTCTGTTACTGAATATTACTTCATTTCAGCCGATCATGATTATGATGTTGACGTTTTGGATGATGTTAGTACCACAACAGTGGATCCGGATGATGTTCTCAGGTTCAATAACGATATTCTAGCAGATTTTTTAGCATTGCCGGAATACGATTTTTGGTCCGGATTCGTCCAATTGCAAAATTTGAGCACTGATGGAAAGTTTGTATTAGAACATATTCCAATTGCATTCAAATCCCATACCTGATAATCGTTAAAGAAATATGATAATATTACACAATAACATTACATTCCTTTCTAAATGCATTCGTAGATTATTAGTTCGGAATCGATCTGTTAATAAAACTCGATGAATTATTTCAGGAAGAAAAAACTGAAAAGATTTTTCTTCACCACAGGTTATCATGACGAAAATTTGAAAGAATGGTTGGCACGAGGGAAATTACTAAAGCAATGGCGTGCTATCGTGGACAAGGCTATTTAGTAAGTCCTCAGAGTTTGAAGAATCATAAGTTCAAACGATAGATATGGGAGGTGGAAAGGTATAAGCTAATTGTTTATTTTCTTGAATAATAAGTTAATATGGTGTTTCTCAAATTTCCCTCCCATTAGCTTTCATTATTACAGCGAGTCATTCCACGCTTCCGTATACCATGAAGATGCCATCTTTCTGGATCTGATCGATAATATGCCAACGGATACGTGGCAATCGATAGCAGGGACACTGGTTTGTATGGCTGCGGTATGCTTCCTCTTCCTTCGGAATATGCTTACAGTGATTATTGCAACTGCTTCTGTCCTCTCTGTGTGTATTGGTAGGTCTACCTGATTTAAACTATGGAATACTTAAGAAAGCTCAAATTTATGCTCTAAACGATCAATACGCCATTTGATTAAATGTTTTTTAATGCTTGTACGACTACACAATGTTTTTAAGGATGAGATGTCCTTATTGAATGTCTCTCTTTTCAGAGTAATTTGAATGAACTTAGGAAGTTTAACTGGTTGACTCCCTTATAAAAATTGTTCAAAGACACTGCAGTTTCAGACAGCATTTATTTATTATAAACGATTCTACTGCATGCTTACTGTTGCAGGTATCTTGGGCATACTATCCTGGTGGAATGTTGAACTGGATCCGATTTCAATGGCTGCTATGATAATATCCACTGGTTTCAGTGTTGATATTCCAGCACATGTCGCTTATCATTACTGCAAAGCCAGTAAGCACTACCTACCAAACAAGCCTGATACACTCCTGTTTTGTACGATATCATTTCCCGCCCACTTTGTCTGTTGTCCCAAAAAAGGGCTTCTACTTTTTCAATTTTATATGTATGTTTCAATTTCATATATATGTTTGCCATATTCAGGCGAAGAATCGACATCTCAGGCTAGACTTGGCAACTGTCTTACTTCAGTGGGATTTCCAGCAGTACAGGCAGCATTGTCCACTATACTATGTGTATACAGCTTATGGTTCGCCGGCATTTATATGTCGCAGGCATATTATTTATCAATATATTTATCAAGAACTACTCCCTCTTAACGAATTTCGAATATTTGAGTTTTAATAATATGGCTTTTAGAATAATTCTTCATTTTTCATGATATCCATTAATTTCCAAATTCAGGTCTTTGTGAAAACAATGGTAACTTCCGTTGTACTATGCAATTTACACGGTCTCGTGATCCTACCAGCTATACTCTCAATAGTTCATCGGGTTAGAGGTCGACTCGACGATAGCAAAATCTACAGTACGCCAGCTGAACGTGCGGTAAATAAACGATTGAAACAAATCAAGAAACGAATGGCCAAGACAACAGAAATACAAAGAAGGAATGGACATCAGCTGGACTTGAAAATGGACCGACCAGCAATTCCTGAATTCAGCGTTTCTTAGAAACTGGTAAGAGCGGATGAGTTCAAAAATCGCAACCTAAAACGGATTTTGTATGCAACCAGTTCTTCATAATTTTGTATACAACCAGTCCCTCATATCCAAGACTTCGACATTACAAAATCAATTTCAGTTGAGGAACACAATGAATTAAAACTGAATAGTCAAGCTTTACTCTCATTAAACTATTAACCGAACTGAAGTCAGTGTAGCTTAGGTGGAATTAGCACTTAAGAACTGTGTGTATGGGAATCTTGCGTCATACATAACCACTTTTAATGCACATTTGATAAAAACATACTATCGATAGAAAGAGACTAATATTCCAATGCCCACTTTATTTTTTGAAATGTATAGTTGATGTTAGGTGTCGTCACCAGTCTCCTACCTTCCTTCCTATTAGATAGTCCAAAACCTACATCCAATTGGACAGTCCGAAACCTGCAGAAAAACAATCCTGTAAAGTCTTAGTAGGTTAAACGTGGTCAGCTGCTGAGGATTCATCTAGGACAGCATGATTTTGACTTCGGTGAGATAAAACTTGAAATCCAGCGTGCTGTTGGCGTCTCACCACATGGGAATCAGAATCCACTGAGAAAGAATCTCTGTGATTCGGGTGCGTCACCTCTCATATATTGTACATCACTCTTTAATTTGTCGAATACAAATTTTATTTAAATAACTGATTAATAAAAGTAATACTGGCCATTGTCAATGAACCAATGAGCAGCAGAAATAAATACAAAAAGTTCGAAAAAGAAACTAGGCGACCTGAAATGAAAGGATGAGCATAATTTGAAGGGAAAGAGAGGTTAACATATGGCTTCGGGTAATACTGATATTCCAGTTTAACATGTGAACTCCAACATAAACAATATTTTGAACGTAATTGACCTTATGTACTTATGTAAATAGTGATGGTGCCGCTGAAAATGGAATCCAGTACCATGGAAAGCATATTAGAAAAAAAGCAGAATATTACTGAATTCAATCCAATCTTTGCTCAATAATGCCTGCTGCAATAGTCTGTCCCGCATGGCGAAGTGTTACTCGACCAAGTGCTTTGCATTCCGAATATCGTTCTAAACTCACAGCTCGTTCTGTTCGAATTTCAATCATCCCACTCATATTTTTTGTTAGTGCTCTAAAAGACGCAACTGTTATGGACGAATCGGCCCGATAGCTACAGCAGATTAACATATCGTAATAACTAACTCCTTTCACATGACAAATATTCAGATTGGTACAAGGCCAAAATACATAGAGTATTAATTTTTTTTCTCCTTTTTAATTCTTTTATGATACCATGGAATTCAGAATACTGGAGAGAGGAGAATACGTGTACGTTATAGCCGCGGAATAATGAAATGTCAACGAGGTTGCTTCAGCCCAAAAAAGAAGACTACTATGAATAAGAGAATAAACCAAAAAGAAGTCAAGTAAAGGAACCTAGGTTTTTGTCTTATCACTTCGCCCGTAGACTTGTTCAGTTCTGCTTTCAATAGTGTGATAGTACAAGGCTCACACAGCGAATGTGCAAAAAGTTCAACTTTGGTGCCTTTCATGATTGGCACAAGTATATTGAAAACAACAATACGCACCAGATATTTCATTCCAGGAATAAGACATTCCTGCAACATACATCTCACCGAAATAAAAAGATGCGAGCACTTTATGCGTTCATACAGTTCATGCGTACATATTAAAAAATTTTGGATACAGGGAATTAAGGCCCATTTACTGAGGATAAATTTTAATCCATACTGTAATATATCAAACCTTTGTTACAGAAAAAGCACTGGTTCACTCAAGACTTTGCGAGCCGAAATAACAGAAATAACAGCAGTGATTTCTTAGCAAATAAGCAACTGTTAATTCACAAGGGCCTTTTATAATGCCCGATAAAAGCAGAAAAAATTTCTCGAAAATTCAAAAATTTTCCTCAAAAATTTCTTAATCTGACTCAAATACAAAAGAAACGAAAAGTAAGCAAACAATACAGGAAAAAAGAGCGTAACCTGTCCACCGCGGCAGAGAACGTAACCAATGCTCACGGAGTCGGGTTCGATGTTTGAAACAGGTGCTAGAGTCACTATAGCCTGGTCACCAGCAAAGCCAATGCCTTTCTTTAAATTGGCCTCCACAAATATTCCTGCAAACAGATTTCATGTATAAGGTTAATGTATAGGGAATTCACTGTTCTGCAGTTTTTTTCAAAGACTTGAAACTGATCTCAAGTGATAGAACAAGAGATGCGAATATCGTGGTGCTTTCTTCGAATCATGTGCTTCTCAATGATAAGCGTAAGAAGAAAACGAATGATGACGATACCTTTAACAATTACAGGATCTGCATTCGGCATTAAGTACACTTTCTCACCATTTTCTATGAAACCAGCTTCAATTTTGATGTTTACTGAAAACGCTAACGTAGAAGCTTTGTATATATCATTAATAACAGCACGGAAATGGCGATTCTGTGATCGTACTGGGACCTGTAGTTCATCTAAAAATACGATACAGTTTACACTCCATCTCTTTGATTAGCTGTATTGATGACCTACTCTCCAAAGTAGAAAGTGTACTTTTTATAAAGATATTGATAATGCCTTTTCTTAAAACAAATTTAGCAGCATATATTCCTAGAAATCTCAAGATTCTTCTCACCCATTACTTGCAATAGTGTTGGCCCTTGGTACCACGCACACAAAGAATGACCATCAGACGGCGCTTCTGTTAAATTAATTCCATCCAATCCAGAGAGTGGAACAAATTTAACTGTTGAATATCCTGCCTGCTTCCTCAGATAAACCTTCAGAGTAGTACAGAGTTCATCGTACCGCTGCTGAGACCAATTCACCGTATCCATCTTATTTATGGCAACTAACAGTTCACCTACTCCTGTAAAACAATAAGTACTGGCTCTCTTTGAGCAGATGAACGAACATTCAAGAATTTTGAAGTTATAGGGCAGATAGGCGAATCTTCGTACACGATGCCTCTTTAAAAGAACACCTATACAGGTTTAACCGCATAATAAATCAGAAGTTTACCCAGTGATCTAAGCAAGATAGCATGTTCCCTTGTCTGACCTCCCTGATCGAATCCAGTTTCGAATTCTCCACGAGTTGCATTGATAACCAATATACCAGCATCTGCTTCAGCAGCACCTAAACCACATGAAATATAATATCTTAATTAATGAACTGCCAACAATCCTATGTGTCTCAGTAAACGAAAAAAAATATAAACCTTATATCCGCAATGCAACTCTACTTAATATGGAACTCGTCTGCCCATATTAAGTGGAGCACCACCTTCTGCTCGGAATCGCGAATAAACGCGAAGAAATTAAGCGAAAAAGAAAAATATAAATCATCTAAATTGCTTTCTTTACACGTACGATGCTATCGCTATGCACAGAATTGTACTTGTGCTTATTGTTTGCAATGTGCGCTAACAAAGGCGCCAATCCACGAAATATATATATATATATATACATATATATATATATATATATCCTTCACATTCTTTTCTGTTATTCTTCAGATTGCTGTCTTTTAATTCTATCTTGTGGCGACGTTGTTGGGATTAACTTTGTGCGTTATGCCGCAATTCTTAATGATTAAGTGACATTAATATTGTTTCTTTTATCTAACTGGTTTAATTACCCAAGTTTGAAGCGAAAATAATGAGAAATTTGTAACTCTGTTCATGTTGCGTAAGATAAGTTCAGGAATACAAGAAATTTTCCACTTTGTGTGGTGCTCAGAATATCTTTTAGTTCCCAACAGCCTTGAAAAATTAGCATGCTTCGAAAAAAGAAACAATTATAAAGAAAGACTACCTGTGATCATGTTGGGAATAAAGTCCTTGTGACCTGGTGCGTCGAGAACAAAGATTTTCCGATGCTCAGTTTCAAAGCTTGTTCGTGCAATATCCATTGTTACACCTCGTTGCCTCTCTTCCTAAGTTGGATTTATTTATCAGTATAAAGCTAGATAAGGAAATACCAAATCCATGTTCAGGATATCATTTTCACACAAAAAAGTCATAAGTTTTTACTAATAAAGAAGCAATGGGCTGAGATGATACCTGTGTATAGTCAAGCACCCAAGCATATGCAAAGGACCCTTTGCCAGTTTTAGCTGATTCTTGTTTATATCTATGCATAGTTCGTTCATCGATACCACCCAACTATAATATTACGTCTTATATGGCAATAACAAACTGTACTTCTGGATGACGCAAGAAATTTTCGCCATTCAGTGAACTTTACTTTGAGGTTGAATTACAGCACATAGCAATTAGGATAATTAGCAAATTTACGAATAAACTATGGTAAGCCTAATCTAATAAAATATAGTTTTTGGAATAATCTTTTTTCCATACGAAGTCTAGGTAGTCATATTTTTTTGATTTCATTAACAACGAGTGAACTAAATGCTTTGGTGAGGATCTCATTCATTCGGCACAATGACATACTAACTAAGATAATTAGCACATAGCTATATCGAATAAACAAAATTCTAACCAGCTATGTATTAGGATGTACTCAGTTTTTGACGTGGCACACGCTACATAGTTACCAATAATAGCTATTAAAAACAACAACTTTCAATCTAGCTATTAAAGGTATACTTGATACAGAAGATGTCCCATCAGTGTACTTTTACCAGCATCTACATGGCCAACGACGACCACATTAACCATTGGCTTGTTTTCTTGAAAGGATTGTTTCGCTCTGAAATATCTTCTGCTACAATCATGGATTCCTCAAAAATCTGCATTTGTTATTTTTTAAAAATTTAATATTCTTTGCAAATTGAAGAATAGTATATATACACCAAACTTAAACTATGTATAACGAACTAACCTAGGCGGTTGTACAACCGCATTTCGTGCAGCGTCAAGAGCAGTTAGTCTCTTGCTACTAGCACTCTTTCGTAGAAATTGATTCGAGAATTTTTTCCCAGGTATATTCCTTTCCACGTCTTCTGACAATTGCAAGTTTTCCATTTGCGACACCTCTGGCAAGTTTTCATTATTGCCAATCTGTTATATTAGTTGCATAAATCAGTAATAATAGTAAGTATCAACATATGCTGTTAGCCATTGGGAAGTCCTGATAGTGGCTTTTTAGTGTTTTTTAAATTTTTTTTTAGTGGATGTTTTTTTAATCTTCGCATAAAGAACAGCTATTGGAAGTTCTATATCCGTTTTACTTTAAGAAGGTAATAGAAGCAAACAATTCAGAAACAAGAGAATATTAGACAATATTTACTAAAAATCACGCATGAAATATCAGATCATTCAAGCAACCACTCACTATGTTCGTTTTCTCCGGTTTTCGCTTTAGCACTTGGTCCCAAAGTCGAATCTCCTTACTCTTACTTCTAACTGGATGATGGTCTCTTGATGAATTCTCTTCTGCTAACTCTAAAATTCCAATATTGCTCAGTGTGAAATATGGAAGACATCGAAGTTGAGAACAACATCTCTCATTATGAAGAATAAAAAGGCGAAAGAAGTAAACCGGATGCAAGTATTCATTATTCCAAACTTACCATTTCTTCGAGGTCTCTGAATATGTGTCGTTGCAGTGCAACAGTCGCCAGAATCATCGACAACATCATTAACTAATTCCGAAATGCCCTCTTCTGGGATGAAATCCGCGATGCAAAAACCGGCTTTGTTGTTGTTGAAAGAGTTCGTATGCGTCCGTTTATGTATATATTCTTCTGTAAAGTAATTATAAATATATATAATTACAGACGGTACACTAAATTGCGAGTCTGCATAGAAATAAAACAGAAAAAAAAGAAAAAAAAATCAAACGTTATGTTTTATCGAACTTTTATCAAAATTGGAAATTATTTTAGAGGATATAGGCTAGTTAGTGTATCTGTGCACTACATCAACAGTGGACTCGTGCAAATAAGTAACGCGAGTTCAGTGGGTTTCAATGAAGTAACAAGTAACAAGCTGTCAGTGCAAAACGAAACATAAAAACTTACTACTTCATAGAACAGTCTTGAAAACTAATCTCATGGACTTGTAATTCAAACGATGAAAAGCAAACAAAGCTAGGGAAAGACGGCAACGCTGAATTTCGCAAATTGACAAAGTAGCGGCATCATATGGTAAGCATGTCAGTGTCCAAAACGTACTGCTGTGTTGACAGCGTGGAATACTAAAAAAACAGGTACCTGCACCCGAAGAAACTGCATCATCATCTGTTGAGATGCTGTATCGATGGAATTCATCATCTTCATCATACCGCTCTTTAATATGTTATCAAATAATAACGACTTTATTCATTCATTACCTATTTACCCATAAAGAATATTTTACAGGACAACCAAAAGTAAGCCGGATAATATGATAGGGAGAAATGCATTACCCGGAAGGATTTATATAAATGTAAGGGAAAGACAGAATAAATTAGAAATAAGTCGAAATTAAAAATAGTTTAAATTTAGAAATAGTCTAACTTCCAAATCAAACATCAGTGTATTCATAACTAACAGTAAAAAACACTAACAACACTAACCCTCGTCATAGTTCATATTACGGATATTGCGATGTCGAGACATTTCTCAGTTTCTGAAATTAACAATGGCCATATATCATGCTATAGAGAACGAAACTTCCACTCATGCATTTACTCCCTTTATCTTTACTAGGTTGGGGTACTGAATGGGTATCATGACGCGGTATCCGACCGATTTCATTGAACTAATGAAAAACAGATGTGAGTTATCAGTACCATCTGATAATGATATTATTCGATAATGAAGCTATTCCATAACATAACGACTCAGTCGTTTGCTAGGAAATATGTAGACCGTCATCTTTGGTTAACATGTGAATTATCAACATACTGCAGGAAAGATAATCGAACTAGTATCCAATAAAGATAGATAAGCCAAAAATTTAAGAACGTCAATTCAAACGTAAGTTATTGGATCAATAGGACTACCACAGTAGAGTAAGATCGGCTAACCGCGAAGTATCCTCGGATCCAATGCACCACGTCGGACTTGTTAATAATAGCTAGGAAGATTGCCGTCGGCCACTTTCCACCCTTTCCTCAATCTCTAACTGTCTGTGTAGCTAAGCTGTAAAAGCTGTTCACTAGAACAAAAAAAAAGGCAACAGGGATGACCGCCATTATGAGATATTTTATCGTGAGAACATGTCACCATCAATCAATACATCCTTTCTTTTTCGGATGTTAATTCAGCGTATATCTTCAATTCTTCCCACAGCACTTGAGAAGAGTCATTGGTATGGAGAACTCATAAAAAAAACGGATGTTTAAGGACTGTATGAAAGAAGCACTGATAGAATCGTCACAGATGGCGGCGGTAGATGACCTTTGATTCAGACCCATATAAAAGAGTAAACAACACATTGGCTTTTTAGACACTAATCTTTGTACTTTCCCTTAGATGTTTATTGTTCCAGTTCTTTTATGAAATCTTCTGAATGCTCCGTATTTTACAAATCTGTTGTCCATCTTGTCATCCGAAAAGATAATGCTTCCCAGATAGCCGAATCGCTAGACTGATTTAAGATCTGATTCACTTACGATGATGATGTGAGAATGAAGACTGTCTTCCTGTGTGCAAGATGTAGAGAACTTTTATTTTCAAGTTGACTTCCAGTCCAAAAAGCTTTGCGGCTCTGCACAACAAGATATTACTTCTGCAAAGCTACTTCTTGTAAAGCAACAAGGGTGGCATCCCCAGCAAAAAGCAGCTCTCGGATAGGATAATTTAGGATCTTGGTGTGTATTGTGGAAGTTGCATTACATAGAAGTTTTTCGATTGGCAACTACGACTGGTTATACCTAAAGCTTGTAGACTTTAAAATATTTTTCTTAATACAAGTAGAAGGAGTGAAGAAATAAACTAATAAATGGGTATCGATCACTTGCCTGGACTTAAGTCTTTGTAGAGTTCCTTATAGTTTAAGTCTTAGTATTCAAACACTGAATCCCTTACAGTCCGTACTTCGTATATAGTGGAGCTTTGTTCACAACAGTCCAAGAAGTTAGAATCGATTGATCCCCTTTATGACCAGAAGTTCTTTATACCGACATTGACCTCAAATCCTTTACAATATGCCGACATTGACTGCAAAATTGGTAATCAATAAAAGTTGATTTACAACATCTTACGACGCAAATTGAACTATACATCTATAATATCGACATCATTTTTATATAATATTTCGATTTTTATCGACAAAGCATAGGCTCTGACGCCATAACTTGAATGGGCTTCCATCGATATGATATCGAATGTGAATGTCATTTTCTTCATCAAGATCTATCATGATCCTTTGGAGCATCATCTGAAGACTATGAATAGAGTTGGTGTGAGAACTTAACCTTGTTTCACAGCACTGATTATCGGAAAGCACTCAATGGGTGCATCGCCATATTTGACTTGGTTGTGCTGATCCTCGTTGTGAAAAAATTATTTCCTTTTATCGAGTCGTTTAGATTTGGAAGATTTAGCCTTGAGCTAGGATCAAGCAGAACTTTAATTAAAGGCTTACCTTGTGAAGACGTCGAATATACGTTGTGAGGACACTTAAACTTTAATTAAAGGCTTACCTTGTGAAGACGTCGAATATACGTTGTGAGGAACAACGATGAAAGAAAGAGCTATACATGGCTTGGCTTCGCGAATGAAAATTTGAGAAAAGCTTTACCTATGGCTACTGCAAGCGCGCTGAAAAGGGCAATGTGGAAAGTATCCTATGGCGAAACTGGCAAGGCACAGTTTTCTGCGTTATCTTTCTTCTTGAGAATAATTCTACATACAT